TTGTGATTATAAAATGCGCATTTTACCAAAAACTGCAAGAGAGACTAAAGAAAAATTTTTTGGGAAGTGTGGATGGACATTGCATACTATTCTAGTTACACAAAATTTGATACTAACCAACTCAATATTCAAGCATTTGATCATTGGAATACTGATACCAAGCAAGATGCTTGGTTTACAGCTTCATCATTTGATTCTGTTTTTGATAATTTAGATCCACAACCACAATGGATTGAAGTGTTTTCAGACAATGGTAAGGTTGCTTGCCGAAACTAGGGAGTTTTGGCAGAATGGCATATGCGAAACTGCCGAAATTATAGATGACTTGGTATAACTGCTAGTAAGCTTCTCGACTAAATTTTTTTTGATCAACTAATTTTAATATTAATATTCAAATAAAATAGTTGACTATTTTAATTGGTTATTTAGTCTATATATTCATAATACAAATCTTTATTCTAATTATTCGAATAAACTTTCAATGTAATATATTTAAATTCATAATAATAACGAATAAAACAAAATATTTCGAATAAACCTTATTCGAATAGAAACATATTATTGGCATTTTTGCAGTTTCGTCATTTCAGCACTATGTAGGAAGTTTTACCTTTCGTCATCAAGCTAAATGGGCTTCAGCAGGCAACCTTACCCTAAGGACTTATAAAAACTAAGGATCCTATAGCATTTTATGGGATCCTTAAGCTTAAAACATTACTGATGTCAGTACGTCCAGGAATTAATTCAATGTTTTATAATAACCACAGATTACTAAATACAATAGTAATGCTATTTTGTCCACCAGCAATTATCGCAAGTAATCTTTAAATGTTTTCCGCCTTTATTTAATTTTTTAATTCCATACCAAGTATACCAATTTCATCTTCTTCAAGAACATAATAATTTGTTCCCTTGCTGCTTCGTCTTGAGTACCAAATAAATAGACTTTGCATGAACTAATGAGGTCCAATATTATATGTATTAATTTCATTATTATTATTGAGATTTTACCAATCATTATAAAATTCAAGCCCATGGAGTTATAAATACCCAGAAAATAGCAAATATTATTCTGTTTTGGAGGAGGAAAAAAATTTGTTCTTTAAAATTATTACTTGCATCCTGACTAATGTTTCAATTATGTGAGTATTTTAATATTAAAAAGTAAATATTTCATTTATAATAAGTAAAATGGTTCATAAAAAAAAACCTACTGAAAATTACATACACAATTTACTTTGTATGGTTTTTCTACTAGTCGTTGACTGTTTCCATATAAGAAAATTTATTAGATTCTATATGATTTCTTAGTAATTAAGAATTTTCTTTTTTGTTTAAATTTTTTGTTTGACGGGCACTATCTATATCATCCAAGATTTCTTGACAAGTTTCTTTTCCATATCTTGCAAAAAAATTTCACAAGATTGTAAGTGATTCTTAACACTTTTTTTGTATTTACGATTTTGTTAGGGTAAGCAAAATTATAAGGGATCTGGACTTTACAAGCTTTACAGACAGCAAACTTATTACAAGAGTTGGTCATTTTATTTAAAACCAATATGTATTCTGTTAATTGATGCATTTTTAATAAAAATAGCAAATGAAAATAGTATATTATTTAATAATTTTAATTCTTTTTTGAAATTCTGAATTCTGAATTCTGAATTCTAATTGGTTGTCTAGTTCCCAGGTCTAGTGGTGATTGGGACCTGGAACTGGACTATTCCAGTGGACCGTTCTACTCCGATTGCCAACACTGCATCAAGATGTTCATAATTCATTTCAACTTGCAAAAGGAACAGTTGATGCTGACAGCAAATACTCATTATTGGTAGGGTTGTTAAATCGAGCATAATGTTCTGGCATCAACCCGAGTTATGTATCACTCCATCATGGAGTGGGTTAAGATTTCTAATTTTTTGTACTAACCCAGAGCAAAATATTTTATTATAACCCGGGTTGGGTTAGGTTAACACTTGTTCCACTATAATATGAACCTAACCCAACCCATTATGTTCCATTAACAACCCTAATTATTGGTAAAGCTAATCTATTTTTCAATCCTAATACCAAAAGCAGTGATCTAATCTTGTGAGGATTGATGGTAATAATAATGCAGATCTGATAATTGAAGTTCCAATTGAACATTTTTGTAAAATTTTGTCACCACATATGTTGTTGCTGTTAAGATAGGAAGTGCATCAGGCTGTAAAAAATTCATGATTTTTAATGTTGATCAATGGTTGATTGAGATTTTTTTGATGTTTTCCTATAAAATTCAACAAAATTTTTACAATCCCTTTCTTTTATTATTGTGACCATTCTTCATGGCTTTGGTGGTGGTAGATTTAGATCATTGTCATCTAAATTCATTATATCAAATTCCAAATGTTCATATGTAGCCTCTTGATTTCATTCCAGTCAAAGTATTCTGATTAATTTGTGCATATTGCCAAAGTAGAGCAGCTACATATGAAAATTGATCAATTTCATATACAAGTTCTTTGCCCAGTATCAAAGTAAATAAACAGTGTAAATTTGAGAAGCATTTTAACTTCTCTGGATCAATTTTAATTGGTGTTGAACAAGAATATACATTCAAGATTTTGGCACTTGAATGAAGACATAACATAGTTGATTGAACCTGAGGAAGTTGTTTATGGTCCAACAAACATAAGGTATGGTAATGTTCTCTGTTATATTTTTCACTATCCAACTCCAACTTTATTATTGTGATATATAGTTCTTTTGTAATGGTTGATTCAATTGATCACAGATCTGGCCTTTTAATTTTGTATGTTGCTGAATTAGTGAGTTTGTGCCATTTTTTCTATTTATTGTTGTAGTAAAATAAATGAGTTAAAAAGTTATAATGACTAACTAGAATAGTTTTCAAAACAATCATTCTTTAATAATAATTACTCATACTCCAGATTAAACTTTTCTTTATTTGTTTATTTTTTTGCATTAAGTAATATAATTTATATAAAGAAAATTTAACATGAAACTATAGCATGCTGACCATGACAAAAGTTTACATTATTTGACAATTAAAAAAAAAGGTAGCATTATTTTTCTTGATATCTTTTTTCTGGTTGTATTGATCGATAATCAATCAGATAATCAGTATGTTGCATGACATTTGAGGCTGTACCTATATACCTCTTATGGAAATTTTCCATGCTAAAAAATGAATAACAAACATGGTGCAAATCATCTATATATTGTAAAAAAATATTAAATAAAATTTACTTGGTCTCAATTTCTGATTATTAATAAATAAAAGTTCTTTACAATAAAAAAATTTAACACAAAATTTTTTTTTGTTTTTCACTGAAATGTTATCTACACTCACTGGTCATAAATATAAGGACACTTGCAGATCATCAGAAATAATTGAACAAAGAAACATGAAAAAAAATAAAAATTTTATTAACCTAATTGCATTTGCTTATTAAGTAAAAATTCATCGCCATATCAAATAGTATAGCATACTGAAGTTTCGCTGCATATAAACAACAACTCGTTGTTTTACGAACTTTAAAAAATAAAAATGAATTTTTTGGAATTTTCAAAAAAATCTTTAACTCGAAAATTGACCACAATGTCAAGTTCTAACGACCTTTGCGGTATAAATAAAAAATGCGTCTTATGTTTGAATCTAGTTATATCCAAAATTTTAGATCATTTAGTAAAATAATTGCCAAGATGTCATACAAAATACTCAACCAAGTTAATTTTTGAAGATCTTGCAGAAAATTTACTACCTTATATTAATGAATTAAGAGAGGTGAATTATGGCGGTGATGGTGGTGGTGATGATGGTGATGATGGTGGTCATGGTTATGGTCATAGTCGTGTGTTTATTTTTCAAGAAGATAATGCACCATGTCATAAAGCAGCTGTGGCAAATCAATGGAAAGAGGAAAATCGTGTTATACTTCTCCCTTGGCCTGCTCAAAGTCCAGACCTCAATCCTATTGAAAATTTATGGCAGGATTTAAAAAGAAGACTTAGA